ATATATGTATGTGTATATATGATATATCCATATATATGATATGTATTATATATTAGTTATATCTATAAAGGAATATCAATATATATGTGGTGATGAGAGGTGTAAACATCACCACATATATATCAGTATTCCTTTATATATATAAAATATATAATGTATATACTCCACACATACGCTAATATTCCATATAATATTCCATTATATACACACACACAATGGAATATTACACAGCCATAAATAGAAGGAAATCCTGCCATTTAAAAAAAGTTTTTATTCATTTATTTGACACTGAGAGAGATAGAAAGCACAAGCAGGCAGTGCGGCAGGCAGAGGGAGAAGGAGAAGCAGGCTCCCCACTGAGCAGAAAGCCTCACACAGGGCTCGATCCCAGGATCCTGAGATCCTGACCTGAGCCAAAGGCAGATGCTTAGGTGACTGAGCCCCCCAAGTACCCCAGATCCTGCTGTTTTTTACAACATGGGTGGATCTTGAGGACATTAAGCTAAGTGAGAGCAGTTTCAAGCCCAGCTAGTGTCTTTATAATCATTATTCTGAATTCTAGTTCTGACATCTTACTTATGTTCTTACTGATAAATGGACTCTTAAAAAAAAAAAAAACCCAAAACAAACATATATGTCCAGAGACCAGATTGGTGGTTGCCAGAGACAGGGGGAGTGGGAGTGGGGTCGACCAGACTAGAAAATCAAAGAGCTGAGTTAAATGTTTGACTTTGGTTCCAGTGCCAGCATTATGGGATCCTGTAGGCTGAGACCATGGGCTTCGCTTGATGTTTCAGGAAATGCTGAGTCCATGAGACAACCTAACACAGAAAACGGAAGTCCTAGATACTTTCCAAAATTTTGAGTGAAGCCAAGGGTACAGATGGGAGTCGGTGGGAGCCCAGGTAGGTTACAGTTGGACAAAGCATCTTTCTCGGTGGGCAGAGGAAGAGGGAAAGTTTTTGATGTTGTTTAGTATGATTAGGGATATGGAGAAAGTTATAGAATGAAAGAGAAAATTCTGAGAAACAAGAGGCTTTGAAAAGCAGGTTAAGGAGTGTGTGTGTTGGGGGTGGGGCTTTGAGTTTGCCGGAGGAAGATCTGTATGACAAATTTCCACCTCTGAGAGGTGGCTGTTGTGGTGGGGGCAGGGCAGGGAGGGTGGCTGGGTGCCGTCAGGCTGTGCAAATACATTTCATAGGTACGCCCTTCAAAGAAGCAATGGGTGTGGGGTAAGGGCACTTTGAATTTGGGAGTGTCTTTTTAGCTTCTCAAACTCTCTATGGTTTCAGTTGGGTATTGAGAGGTGCCTACGTAAGTAAAAGTATGAGAATGTGGGGCTCATGCCCCTACACTGAGGGGAGTTATGGCACTAGGGGTATGCGCAGCGTCTGGGGGAGATGGAGTACCACTACCCATGGTGCCCTGGGGGTCCAGTGTAGGCTGTGCGTGCTGCCAGCCAGAGGCCTTCTGGCTGTAGAAACAGGCCAGGCCTCCAGTGGCCAGACCCCCTGCTTACCCTGATAGGGCTGGACTCTTCTCAGAGCTGGTTTCATTCCCTTAGCAGGGGCCCTGGCAACAGGGGGGATGCGTTGAACTACTTTTTACTCTCCCTGAGAGTTGTAACAGTAACCATGACCTTAGGTTTCTCGCTATCAGGCTCCATGATTCACCCTCCACATCCTTAGAAGTGTGAGTGGAATAGAATATAATATGTTTTCCTCTTTTATGAGCGATAAAGAATATGAGAGAGAGGGGCTCTCATCGAGCATAAGCATTATGACACGTGGATGAAGGCCTTCCAGGGAGATGGGCGGAGTGGCGTCGACCAGAGGGGACCCACCTCTCTGGCTCCAGAAGCCTGCGGACAGCTTTGCAGGACTATTGGGGGCTGGCCTGGAGGAGTCACTAGAGGACTGCAGACATTACATAAAAATCCTTGATCCCTATTCTCCACCAAGACATTTCCTTGACCCAAAGTAGAGTTTGGAGAGGTGAACTGTGAAATTGACAACAAAGGGTCCTGATGGTAATGTCATCTTTATGGAGCCATTTCTGTTCTCCAGGCACGGTGTTAAGTGCTTCACGAGCAGCAAATATCTCATACGGACCTCATCACCAACCTCTGAGTTAGGTTTCGTTCTCAGCCTTATTTTACACGAGAAGAGACAGTTGTTCGAAGAAGTAATGAGGCTATGAAATGGAAGCGCTGGGATTTGAACCAAGATTCCGGTGTAAAGCCTGATTTTTTAATGATCACATGAGAGCCCCAACCTGATTAGTCCAGTCTACCCTAGTGATGCACAGCCTCGTGATATTACCCTTCCCCTCCAGCTCTGAAGGAGAAAGGAAAGGGTAAACGTGCAGTGTCCTGACAGATGAATCTTACAGAAAGAGTCACGGTCTCATCCCCGAAGCGTGTGTTCCAGGAGGAGTGGTATCGGCCATGATTTATAGCCTCATACATAGAACACGCTCATCCTGGTAAGTACGCAGCACTGGACCCATCTTCCCAGGCCCGGTACTTAGCATCACAGTGACACAGTACCAATTCCCCTTTCCCTAGAGATGGCTATCTTTGGGCGATGGCTGCCCAAATAAGATTTCTGTGTGATTTTCTCTTTGATTTTGCTCGTGGACCATTTCTAGCTCAGTGACTACAAAACAAATCAGTCACCAAGTAGAAATACAGTGGAATCCTAAATATAGGCCTGGCAAACAGAAATACTCCAGTATTATTGAGAAATCTGGCTTCAAGGAAAACAGCACATACGCCAACTCTTGTAACCCATGATGTAGACGACTTAGCAGGACGACAAAGTTCAGTCGCCCCAAATTCAGGCTGTGTCCATATTTACAAGGCAAATAGTTGTCATAATAGTTTTATCATTACCATTCAACTTTGAGGACAAAGAGAATTTCTAGCAATTCTAAGATTGTTTGTGGCTGGAGGTCCATCCCAGGCTGTCGGGTTACTCAGTGAATTAGCAGAGAGCCAGCTAAGGGAGCAGAAGAAAGAAGCGTCAAGCCTAGAAAGGTAACCTCGGAAGTGATTACATTACCTACAAGTGACCTCTGATGGCCAGGACTGATGGCTTACCATGAGAGCACTAGTTGTAGGCTTGCAAAATGCTCACTGGGTATGTCCCTCCACGCATTCAAACATGTGGCTCCCTTCAAGCCCCTCCATCCTGTGCCCACGACCTCATCCTAGAGATTAGGTGAAACTCCCTTTAACTTGAAGGTTACAGAGTAGCTCACATCGAACATTTTAATTTAGTTCGCCCCAAACCACTCTGAACTTGAACTTGGAGTACAGTCATCCATCAGAGCTTTCCTAATTAAATTGGCATAAATTAAGGCTTAATGTCAACATCAGAACTTGGTCACAGAAACCATAACACAGACGGTGCCAGGGGCTTCTCGTGTGCAGCCCACATGCCGTGACCTGTACAAAGGCGTTTCTGTTTGGTTACAAATCACTGGGTTCCTTAACAAAAGAAGGGCAAAGCTCGATGTGTCAGGTCTGCTTACCTTCAAGGCAAATCTGAATAAAAGTGCCTCTCTGTAGACTCGTCATCCAGGGACCCCTGTAACTGTTCTGATGCTCCCAGGCGAGGAGGAAGAGGAAAGGAGTTTCACCCTAGGAACGCTGGTCCCGCGTGAGGTGTGCAGCGTTAATCAGCTTAATCAGAATCACACAGCTCTTGGGCAACAGGGCTGTGTTCCTGCTCTTTCTTGAAGCCAGGTGTGCAGACTTCTACCCCACCAGTGGAGGTCAAATAGGGTGGGGTGGGGGTGAGGGGTTACCAGCAGCATGGGTATCATCTGGAGGTTTTTCAAGATCAGAGTCTCAAAATCTGTCCAGACATTCAGGATCAGAAACTCTCGGGACAGAGACGGATGTTCTGTGTTTGGATACATCCTCTGGCTGATGCTGATGTAGGCCAACGTCTCTGAACTACTGCACTTTATCATGAGGTCCCCTTCAATCAAGCTCTCAAGACCACTGAAGAAGAAACCAGTCTCATTTTGAAATCAAATAAAGGTGGTTAAAAGACATGGGGCTTCAGTGGGACATGGCGAGGGGTATCTGCCTACCGGTAAGAAAGAAGCAGAAGAGATGCATTTGATTGAGTGCCATGAGGCATTTTGGCAGGAAAATGGGCTTTTTCCCTTGTCAAGATATATCATTAAAAAAATACGAAAAATATTAGGCCTCTGCTTTCCAAGAAAAATAACTAAAGCCAGGGTTATTTTCTATTTTCATAATTTTGCTGGGTTATCTGTAATGTGGCTTACACATTTCTAGAACTTACCTACTGAACTGATGTTTAGGTTTCCTCAAAAAAATATAAACTATATTGCATCATCAGTAATATTATATCCGTAGGCATATAGCTGTTAAATCTGTGAGTTTATGCATTGATTTATGCAATATAAACTATATTGCGTCATCAGTAATATTATATCCGTAGGCACAGTCTGTTAAATCTGTGAGAGTTTATGCATTGACTTACTGCCCAACTCCAATTTTATGACTTAAAAAAATTCTTCACCTCCCTTTTTGTTTCCATTTCTCCTTACCTAGAACAGATTTCATTTGGTGGGTAGCTAGAATGCTGATCTATTATCCTTTAGGGTTCCGAAGTTTGCTGATTTATATGCATTTATGAGCCAGTGAATAATGCTTCCAGGAGAACTGCATTATATCGGTTTTGCAAGAATTGACTCAGATTCTGACATCCAGTAACAGAAGGTCATACAAATCATCACATCAACACTAGACTTTATTACATTTGTTTGTAATTTATTTTGCTTATGGTTTAATGTCTTACAAGCAGAAGAATATTATTGACATCAAAGAAGTTGTAGCCTGACTTGATCCCAGCAGGTGTCTGTCCACTTCAAATACTACAAACATTCTTTGTTGGCAAAACAATATTGTTTGAAAGTTTACCAGCATTAATTTAGAATTGGCTAATTACTAAAGAAAAGATAGGCGTTCCATCATGGTTCTGGGCACTGACACCAAAATTTCAGTTGAGGACAACCTGACATTTATATCCCAAAACAAAAGTGCATCATAAAATTAATAAGTTAATGAACTAAAAGACACATAGCCTTTCTGGAAGATAAAAATGCTTAATTTACAAGCCACTCTGGAGTACCAGGAAAGAAACAAAATGAAGCTGTATAAATTCATTTTTGAAGGATTTTGAGACTCTCAGCTTATATTTTAATATTTTGTTCATATATAGCCAACAGTAAGAGAGAGAGCCAACCTAGGGTCAGCCCAAAGTTCTGCAGGAGAAACATCAACCAGGGTCGCCGTGTTTGAACATGAGTCATTTCAGGAAGCTAAAAAAAGAATAAAAAACCAGAATAAGATCCAGATATACTCACTGCTGGGAAAAGTTTGGTGGGAAAACATGAGAGACTCTGTTATTCAGAACTCAATAACCTTTCAAATTCCCAAAACAGTTACAAAATGCTTGATACCTACTCTTGACCAAAATTTAAAAGTGTAAGATAAATTAAGTCATTCAACTGTGGTTAGAAGGATTGTAGCACTGCCAGAAGTCTTAAAATGACGTAGTTATCAGCCTAAAGCAAACCCAATCCTTCTTAACTTTGGTTTTCTGAGAGTGCTTCAATGTGAAATAGATAATAAAGTATTATTTTTGACTCTTCTGTTAGGTTTATGAAGCCGCTAGATGTACTGGTGGTTACGAAGCACATATTTGTTTCCTTTCAAAGAGATCACCAAGGTCTTCCTGACCTTCAGAATAAAGACATCATGTCCTAAAGCTGTATTTTACTCTCAGAGAGGCAAGTGGCAAAACAGCAAGAGGCTGTTCTTTTAGTGGAATGGCTTTAACACCACGTGGAAGAAAATGTTCTCATGAGAGTCTGGGGGAAAAGCAGCTCAATGTGTTCCTTTTTTTTTTTTTTTTTTAATCTCTTTATATTTATTTATTTATTTATTTATTTTTTCCATTATGTTAGTCACCATACAGTACATCATTAGTTTTTGGTGTCATGTTCCACGACTCATTTTTTTTTTTTTTAAATTGAAGTGCACTTGACACACATTATTACCTTAGTTTTGAGTCTACAACATAGTGATTTCACATCTCTGTATGTTCTACTGTGCTCACCACAGATGTAGTGATGGTCTACCTTACAAGGCTAGAATACCAGTGACATTATTCCCTATGCTGTAGCTTTCATCCCCGCGATGTTTCTGTCTCATATTCCTTTGAATCCCTCATTATGCGAAGGAGAGAGTGACGTATCTCTTGCATGACATAGTCATTTCTATTGGGAAACCGGCTTAAGTCAACATCTAGGGAAAACCTCACTGGACCATGACATTATTGACATTTTGGGTTGGATACTTCTTTGTTATGGGGGCTCTTGTGTGGATTAAAGGATGTTCAGCAGCATCCCTGGCTTCTACCTGATGGATGTCAGCTGTTACCTCTGACTCCAGTTGTGACAACCACAAATGTCTCCAAATGTTGTCCCAAGTTCCCTGGGGGGTTAAAAAAAAAATCACCTCTGTTTGAGAACTACCAGGTTATTTACAGCAAGAAAAAGGTAAAACCTGTAAAATATGCAAGGGTCTTAGATTTATGGCAATAAAAAGTTGATGTATTCTTTTTCTAGGTTGACTTGTTTTAATATCTGTCCAAGTGCATCCTGAATGTTCTCTTTGGGTATGCTTGAGATGGTTGTTTCTCCCTTTTAATTAGAGAAATTGACAGGATGAGGATGAGGGTTATTGTGATCTGCTATCTCACACCCTCACATGGAGCAGTGGACCAAAAGGTAAAGTAGGATCCAGAAATGCTGTCCTGGGTGGATGACCTTAAACAGATTACGTGTCCTTTTGGTCTTTTTCTGCCATGTTTAAACATAAGCTTACCCATACTACTTTATAGTAAAAAGTATGTATGTATGGTTCATTATCTATTATAAATTTAAAATGACATTTTAAAAATCCATAGACCATTCCTAAAGGGCTGGCAATTGATGGGATTAACAAGACACGTGCACTGGAGTTTACAAGACAGCTGATTCTCAGGAGTTTGTAAGCAATTTCCAAGTGTTTACTTTAAGGCCAGACAACATAGGTGACCAGTTTCCTTCTATCTCAATAATTTGTCTCTCAGACCATCTGTGAGACATAATTATGCCATCTCTGGTCACAAAAAGGCTCAAACTTTGATTAGCCTTATTTCCAAATATACTAAGACATTGTGCAATTCCTTCTCCTTTTTTTTCAAGCAAGGTAATTAATATTCATCCTCAAAATGTGGATGAATTAACAACTTGTCTTATGTCTACTATGTCTGGTGTCATCTGACCGTTGTTCCTCTCTGATGAAGTAGAAGTAATTTCTAGAAAGATTTTTTTTTGGCAAATACTCCTATAATATGAATAATTGGATGAACCATCATGATTGTTTTTAAGTGTATTGTTGAGAAAATACTTCAGCCAAGATACAAAGCATGGTGGTGAAAACAGTTCTAGTTCCAAACATAGAACTTGAGATTCATTTTCAAACCACCTATGTCTTAACCTACATTTTAGAAAGCTCATCTTTGAAGTTCCATCTTTGCTGCAAACATCTACTCAGGGTCTTTGGTTGGAAAGATGTAGGTCTTCATCAGCTAGACTTAATAGCCAAAATGTTTAAGATACAAAACTGCAGAGATTAAATTAGCGTCTTGGGACTTCCTTCATAATCTCCATCAGTTTCTGTCCCAACTAAATCCCAAAATGCCACAATTTTTAAAAATAATTTTTCGACCTATTGTTTTTCTCACCAGCCCATTTATAGACCAGCTACTGGCTTATAGTGTGTGACACACAATAAAATTGAATAAATGTGTTTAGAAGAGTTTCCAGGCTCTGTCAGTGACCCCACTCCCAGTAAGAAAACCAAGAATCCTTGATTCTGAGTACATAAATGGCATTATCCACAAGAAGACACCATGAGGATTTTTACAGCTCCAGGAGCCACCAGTGCCATGAATGCAATGTCTTCTGGGAAGTTTTGCAGCAGGGTCCCTGTTTTTACTTTTTAATCAAAATGACTGCCTCTACGATCTTGCCATCCATGTAGGTGGGACTTCTAGCAGCTCATCTTTTCCTTGAACTCCTTCAGGATGCTCTGGCTGAAGGTTTTATGCAGCACTTACTTTCATTGACATCCATTTTGTCATGCCCTATCTTAAGTCCTGCATCCTTATTTACTACTACATTATTAAACTCCTTTTATTTAGGAGGAAACAATGGTTCAAGGAGGATAATAACTTACTTAGTCACATAGATGTGACATCAGAATGAGGACAAGAAGCCAGCTCATCTCGTTACTGTAGAGGACTGCAGGAATGCAGACAACACCGACTCCATCTTCGGCCCTCCATTGTGTTCATGTTTGTTCAGTGAGCTCTCTTAGGGCTACATGTTCTGGCCCTCTTGGAGATAAATATACATGCCCTAGACATGCCCACTGAGGCTGAGATTGGGGGAAGCTTGTTTTGGTTTCCCATGATTCTGTTAGAGATAACATAGTCTTTCTCCTTCCTGATGCACAGGTAATGCCCAAGATCTAATTAAAGCTTAGCTGTCAATTAGGGGCATGCAAGCCTTTGGAGTTGCATGTGAACACTCTGATCTCATGACAATGAACTTCTGTGTTTTCCCTCTCTATAATCGGTGCACTAAGGTCTACACTAAGGTCTGGATTTTGCAGAGAGTAACTATGCTGCTGCCATGTGTCATTGCCTGCCCAATTCCCACCCCCCCCCATCAGTAAATTATCCTGAATAAAATTCTGTGTAAACTATATGGAGAGGTCTGCTTCATTTTCTGTTCTCACCATGCTTTCTCGGTTTGGGGGATACTTTACTGTCTCTCTTCCACCTTCTAAAGAACTATAAAGACCAGCTCTCTGCCTGAAATTCATCTCTATTATGACTAACACGTTTCCACCTAATTAGAAAAAAGTGGAAATATCAAAGCTAACAATGTTCAAATAGACATAACAGTCACTGCATGTAATGAAAACATAATGAAAATATATTCTGCAACATATAGATATCATGCTGCTTTTGTTATAAAAGATATCATGCTATTGATTCTGTTTTTAAGGCAGACGATGTGTACTTGAAAAAGCTATTTAAAAAAAGACTAACTTTGTGAGCCTATAAAAATGGACAAACGATGAAAATCAGCATTTCAAAAAAAAAGGTTAGGGAGAGTCTCATTCTGACATGGATCATTTTAATTTGGGTGGTCTATCTGAACTTCTCATGTCTGTACACAAATGGGCTTGGTAAGAAAATCCAGCTAAGCCTGCTTTTGAGACAATACTTGGCTTTTTTTTTTGAATGATTATGGATGAACATATAAATCATAATATCTCTTGGATATACACCAAAATACCAGAGAGTCTTACAAAAAGTCTTTCCAAAAGAACAAATGTAAAATGTCAAATCTCAACCATGTCTGATTACAGCATTTCACTTCCTTTGAATCTACCCACATTTTTTTTTATCATTTCAGTAACTAAATTTTGAAGGAAAATGAAGATCCATATGAACGAATTTTCAAGGGTATATGGTTTGTTTTTTCTTTTAAAGAAATTCCTGATGTCAGTTTTATTGCCTCCATTTTCCCCCTGGATTTCAAGAGAGGAAAACCTCCTTTTCTTCCAGGGCAATTAAATTATTTTATTGAACAATTTTATAGATTTATACCCTAAGACTAGAGAGGGTGAAATGATGGATAGAGTATGTTAACTGAAAAAAAAGGTCAGGAAAAAAGAGAAATGTTAGCAAAACACCTTTGCCCAGAGATAGAGCCAAGAGATATATATTTTTTAGATTTCTGCCAGAAACTTGGAAGCCTTGAGGTAGAAAATAATTTTCTTTTTTACCTGCAATATTTAGCAAGTTCCCCAACTCAAGTCAGTGGATGCCTAAACATGGCAGTCAAGGAATTATAATTTTCTGGCAAAAAAAAAAAAAAAATAGAGAGAGAAAAAAAAGAAAATCTTTAACTAAAAGATAGTCCTTTATCATGCCATTGTTTTATTTTGTTTTAAAATTTAAATCAGACACAGGAGAGAAATTCCCTGAGATGCACCAAGTCTACACGGTGACTGACTTGTCCGCAGATGTAGGTATTATAGGTATTATAGCCAACCAGTAATTAGAATTTCTGAACATTTTAGAAAGTGATATTAAGTAAATAATTTATATTTGAGGCAGTTCCCATAACTGTATTCATAGTCAAGCTGAAGTTTTAAAAGCAATGCTCATGGAGAGTGTTAGAACCCATCAGGA